CGTCAAAGGGGATGCACGCGCCGCCGCTGTTGTGGCCCGCCGCGGTGCATATTTCAGCCGGGAGCACAAAACTCCTTCCTAGCGCCGCCGCCTCGTTCATCGCGCATGAGAGGCTGGACATCTGGTGGTTGAGACCCATGCGCGCGTCGGACCGGTACGGCACCCAGCGGAAAGTGCACGCCATGGGTCTCTCTTCCATCAAGGCCGACAGCGTGGCCAACAAAAGGGATTAATACGGACGGGCCCTGCTCCCTCCGAGCCAACCAATACGCGCCTCTACGAGTCGTCGCTGTCGCTGCCAGAGAACAAGTGTGAGTGTTAGAGTTGTTTGGTATTGCTAAAAATCTCTCTCTCTGCCAGAGCCATCGGCATCGCCGAAGCCAAGGAGCGTAACAAAATCGGCAAGCAAGAGCAAGTGTATTGGAGCTCAGGGAAGCGGTGGGCGGGCGGTCCCGTCCCGCTGCTGCTGTCCCGCTGCTGCTGTCAGTCAGGCAAGAGCTGAAAGTGTCCTTTGACGTTCCAGATTCCAGGAAAGTTCGAAGTCCCTGTAGCTCTTTGTGTTGCGATGCTTCCTGGCGAGAGAGTGCTGGGCTTTCCGGCCCACACTCGGCTCTTGAGGCATTTATCGGCATTAATATGCCGTAGGGACACACAGCAAGGAGAGTAGTGTCTACGCGCGCACACGCCCGAGTGCCAATTTGGCTACGGGTTAGGGTTGCGTTGTCCTAACGCCTCCGTCCGTCCTGGACGGGCGTTGGCGCGTGCATATCCCACCGCTAAGCTAGCGACACTACTGCTAATGCTGGCCTCGTCCCCTCAAGTTGAGCAGCTTGGCCTTGCCATACGGTTCGACTGCTCAGACATTGGAGGAGATAAGGGGATGGTGGTGGGTAGAAGAATGCGGAACGAGCAGCCAGAAGCAGTCGCGCGAGTCAGAGTCGGGCACGAGACGTCGAGCATCGAAACCGTCCGTTTCTGCGCCCGTCCCCAATACAGGATTCCCCTGTCAGGGTGTGAACATCGTGCACTCGATGGTTTTCCCCGGCCCATGCCGGGTACTCTCCAGTCGAATCTGACGTTTGGCTACACTAGTAGAGCCGTGGGCTCATTTCACGTAGCTCTTTGTGTTGCGATGCTTCCTGGCGAGAGAGTGCTGGGCTTTCCGGCCCACACTCGGCTCTTGAGGCATTTATCGGCATTAATATGCCGTAGGGACACACAGCAAGGAGAGTAGTGTCTACGCGCGCACACGCCCGAGTGCCAATTTGGCTACGGGTTAGGGTTGCGTTGTCCTAACGCCTCCGTCCGTCCTGGACGGGCGTTGGCGCGTGCATATCCCTTCCGGTGCTTGCGTGACGCCCAGCGACTACCGCGCTCCGGCATCCTTGCGTGTCCCTACTGGGTGGGTGGGTCCGTCCGGCCGTGCCCCGCGGGGGCGCGGTCGGCACCAGAAGGGGGTTGATACGTTCTCTAGAGACGACGTAGTCGTGGACGGCCGCAATCACAGTGGACGGACACGACGAGACGAGTGTGAAAGCACGGAGGCAACAAAACACACTAGGGTTCGGGAGAAGGCTAGGGTTAGGGAGAGAGTGCCTGACGGGCTTCGGCCCGACGGGGTCGTGGCCCGCGCGCCATCGCGCGGGATTATTGCGCCCCTCGCTCCCTCGAGCGGGCGCCCCCCCTTTTCCCATTACGGGCCCGTCGCGCTCCGCGCACCAGGACAGGCCCATATTCCACGCCCCTCGGCGTTACGCCATCTCATGGCCTTACTGGTAGTACGTAGCTCTGCCTCGAGCTACACTACCTCGTGCTCCGCACGACCTCGCGCTCCGCACGAGTCACCACACCACGCCCGCCTCTCCGGACGGCACATGCCCTTGCGGGTGTGGAGTGCATACCCCGTGCACTGTCCGCCCTTCCGCGTCGTGCCGCCAGTGGCCCGTGTCGCGGAATGAAGGAGATGGACTAGAGGTGGGCGCTCCGGCCGTCCCTCCTGGCCAGCGCCACCATGGCGCTGGCACCCAGCCGTCGGCCCCTGAGGGCGTCAGGCTACGACTAGCCTCTCCGGGCTCTCTGTCTGTCGCCCACCCTTCCGCGCCGAGGCACGTACTCGTGTGACGAGACCGTGCGACGCCGGCTCCATGCCTAACGCCGCACTGGAGTTGGGCGCTCCGGCCGTCCCTCCAGGCCAGCGTCACCGCTGGCCCCCGGCCGTCGGCCCCTCGTGCGGGCGTCGGGCTACAACTCGCCTCTCCGGGCTGCTGTCTGTCGCCCACCCTTCCGCGCCGAGGCACGTACTCGTGTGACGAGACCGTGCGACGCCGGCTCCATGCCTAACGCCGCACTGGAGTTGGGCGCTCCGGCCGTCCCTCCAGGCCAACGTCACCGCTGTTGAGCTCTCCAGAAGACTGGTGCCTGATATGCTGCCTCCCTGCGGATGCTGCCGGCGAGCCTGGCGGTCCGCTGTACTACAAGGATGTGCTGACTCGATCCTACCCCGCAAATTCCTACCCCCACGACTCGGAACACGAATGTGACAGGACCATCGGGTCCTTCGGCCACCAAAGCGAGATCACCCGAGAGCAGCTGAGTCTGCCTCTGGCCTCGCCTCCCTCTCCTCCAGGCATTCGTGGCATCCTATGGGTCGTCCAGAGTATCGACCTCTGGCTTGTCAGCCGCCCCACCGAGGGCACCATGAAGTCGTACAGCGATCGCCACCTCGCTGGCCTCTCCGCAAGGCCCCCCGACCGCGTCGAACTCATCGGCTTGGGCGCGCAGTTTCTTTTATATTCGTATTTCTTCTGAACACTCCTCTCCTTGCTTGCGCGGCGTGTTCAAGCCGAAAGATGGGGGACGCATACCGCGAGCTCCTCGACTATCTCAAGGCCAAAGACCAGCAGGGCGAGCACAAGCGCGAGGAGGCCAAAGCCAAGGCGCTCGAGGAGCTCACCGCCCTTAAGAAGCAGACGTTCGCCCACATATCATTTTACAACTGCATCAACGGTGTGCGCCTCCTACCCACAGCCGCGCGAATGCTGTTGACTGACACTCCGCTGCCGTGCGACAGCGGCGGACACGCTCGAGGACGGTGTTGACGCTGCGCTCACCTCGCAGAAGGAGCTGTACGATGCTCTTCTCGGATTCACGGGCATGATGGCTGGCTTCTCATTCATCGGCCTGCCGCTCGGTTCGCAGCCCGACACGTACTTCCAGGCTGTCGCCTATTTTCTACTCATCCTCGGCTTTGGCGGCTGCATGGTCGCCGCGCTCATGAGCTTCATCGCGACCCTCTTCATCAAGGGCCTGATGCAAGAGCCGTGGGACTGCGTTCGCGACTGCTTCTTCAAGTGGAACCCTTACCTCTACTGCACCAACTTTCTTGCCATCGGCGGGCCCTTTATGCTGTTCCTCGGCGTCAACGTCATGGTGCACGATTTCTTCACCGACCGCGACGAGGTGGATTGCTGGCGCAAGGGCATGGGGGAAGGCGCAGACAAGTGTACACTTTCCCTCGGCCTCCCCATCAGCCTCAACGTCCTCTCCCTAATCTTCTTGCTCGTTCTCTGCTGGCTCTTTTACGGAGCGGTGCTGAAGTCGCAGCGCGGACGGCGCATCACAAAGGCCATCGAGGAGCGGCGCTGAAGGCGCAGGCTTCCGCCGCGCCTCATTATTTTTCCAGTTTCGTCCCTGTTTATCCTCGTAACCGGTCGACGCATCTGTTCCCACTGTTCCCACACAGCACAGTGCGAGGACACGGGTGTCGCGTGCAACCTAGAGATGCCCGCCCGCACGCAGCGAACGACGCGAGAGAGCGCGCTCACGTGAGGACCATGTGTGCGCTCCCCCCATATTGCACATATATTTATGGAACACGACGATACACGAGACCCACCTGCAGCTGCAGCCTGCACCTCTCGAGCTGGCAAAAAGAATTCAGTAGTGGTCAGCTCTAGAACAAAACAAAAAACAAAAACAAGTGAACGAAAAATACGCCACTAGCTCAAGGCCCCTGTGCACCATTCACGTTCTCTCGGCTACGGGACCGGCCCCAGCTTCGGCTGAGGGCTAACAAGCTGCCGAGCGCCCGAGCCCAAATCACTGTGAGAGTCGTGATTTCTTGTTGGTCTTCAAAAATCTCTCTCTCTCTGATCAGAGGGCGTGGGAGGTTACTGCGTTTTAGTTCTAACTAATCAAACACCGCCAGTCCTCCTCCGGGAATGCACATGTACATGTGAGAGCTATGTCGCGGAGGAGGGTTTTGGACAAGTCCTCCGCGGTGACTCGGGGCGATTGGAGCCGCGAATGGAGCTCGCAACGGAGTGACGAGGCGCATGTAACGACCCCCGGGGGTCCCGATAATCGAATTGAGGAGGACGGGCGGTCCCATTGTGTGTAACGAACTCTCTGAACGCCGCACGGAGTCGTGTGAGGGCCTCGGAGAGAGGCCCTGTCGTTCAGTCTCGAGCCGCCGACAGGCTCCTGACTTCAGTCCGTGAGTGCGAAGGAGAGTAGCATTCACCGTAGCCCCCCTTTGAGCAAACGTAAACCAACTTAGACCAGCTGAGGATCTCAATACGCAACAGCACATAGACGCAAGACCGAGCATTGACGTTACTACGTACCACCTTGACCTGACTGCACGACGCACTGGACCATCGCTCAACAGCGATGGAGGAGCATCACCACGACGACCGAACCGCGGAGTGCCAGCTGCCCCCCTCGAGGGGCAATTCGCGCCCAAGGGCAGCATGGCTTCACCAACTTCACCAACCTTGCCAAGACCAAGAAAGGGAGGGTGGCCACGCCGACAGTCGCGGCGGCCTGACGGCCGCCCTCCCCGGGGACGATGGGGACCCCGCCGCAAACCCCGTGCACCCCACCCCCAGCAGGCGAGTCATCCGGCCCCGCGCGGCCGAGCAATCAGCGCCTCCAAGCGCGGCCGCGTGCACCGCCGGTAGGAAGACCGGCGGGCCGCTCTACGGCGCGGCGGCCCCCGGTGGCGGCGGTCGGCCCGAAGCCGACCCCGCCGCGCGCCTTCCGCAACACTCGGGCTTCAATGCCACCCATCCGGAAACCCGCCCCGCGACAAGCTACGTACACTGAAAAAGGACGCCTCCTCTCATGCCCAGCACACGCGTTTCTCTACACTCGGTTTCTCGCTCCCGCCCTTCTCGCGGGGCCGAGAGCGCGCAAGCTTTCCCCGACTGGGTCGTGGATCGCCGTGATCAGTTGTGCGCGCGCCTCAGCCCCCCGATCCGGGAAGGCCGGGATGCGTGTTCATGCAGTTGGGCGGTCCTCCGACCGCCCGAGCGCTTTCCCTCGGTCTGTTAAACCTGAGGTCGTGGCCGTTCAGACTTCAGTATTCTCAGCCGCGGCGGCTGGCGCGGCGGTGGCGCACGACGTCCCCGCGCGCTCGCGCTCTGCGCGCTCCATCTCCCGCGTGTACTCGGACTTCAGGTTGATCTGCCCGTCAAGAATTCGAAAGAGTGCCGACTGACGACAGCGAAGCTCCTCGTGCCGATTTCTTTTTAGATCCAGAGATCGAAGCTAACATCAAAGGACATCCCCGCAGCAGCTTGCCCTGTGCACTGTGTGACAATCTCAGCCGCTGGTCAGATAGGTGAGACTGCGCTTTAACCCTAGCTAGGGTTAAGTAACCAAAAGGACGCGCCTCGCTCTCAGGCAATGCCCTGTATGCATCAAACACCATTGAGGTATTTTCTTAGTCCATGTCTGACTCTGGATCAGGGGGTCTGAACCTGCCTGCGAGGTCTCTGGGGGGCCACAGAGCCACGATGGCAGACTGAGCGGTCCGTCCTCCTCTTCGGCCCCGCCTGGCTCGCGGCGCGGAGAGAACCCGGCGCCGGTCCGCGGCTGGCCTGAAAGCCCGTCCGCAAGCCCCTCGGAGCCCCCAAGGTGCGCCCGTTTGCCCCGCGCGCCGCCCGCGCCGCGCCTCCGTTTCGAGGAGGCCGTTCCCGGCAGATGCGCTTCGGGTGGGACGGGTTTTATTGTGGGTGGCATCCCGGCCCAGGGGCGGGACCAGAGCTCCGCGATAGGGTGACGGAGCTCCCCGCCCGGCGGCACAATGCCCGCTCACCGCTCGCTCCGCCCGTGCTCGCAGGCCGAGTGCCATGCCAGGAGGAGCGACCCGACCAAGAAGGCCCAGGAGGTCCACGCAGCCCTCCTGCTTGTGGCGTCGGCCTACTCGATTCGGGCACCTCGGGAGAAGCCGTTCCTGCCCGGCCTCAATCACCCCTCGAAGCAGCTGCGGCCGCGATTTCATCTGGTGACCACCCCACCCCGGCAGGCGCACGCTGAAGCGAGGCCGTCCCGCAGCGCTTCCGAGACGGGGCTGTTCGCGCGGAGCGTCACGCCGCAGGCGTCCGCCGGAGGCCCGCCGGAGGCTGAATGCGGCGGCCACGTCAGTCTTTTGCCCGCGAGGAGCCTGGCCGTCTCTTCCCAGCCGCTTTGCACGCCCCCAACATCCCCTGACAGCAGCAGCGCCTCACGGCGTGGGCTGCGAGGTCACTCGGGGTGACCCAGGGGGCGGCGGGAGAGCACTCTTCCGCCGGAGTAGCGGGCGGTCTTTCCGCTACTCGCTCGTACTTGAGGTGCATCCACGCCCGCCCACCACCTTCCCGGCAGCCCCACCCGCTCGGTGACGTCCTCACTCCCCCCCCCCCCTCAGGCGAGGCCCTGACCACCAAACTCGCGCTCTGCGCTCCGGGAACGGGCAGCAGCGCGACGCTCTTCGAGAGCGAGCGGCGGCGGCGGCTCAGCACGAACCATGTCAGCGCAGGGCGGCGCTATAGCTGCGTGGCGGGCCCCCACCACCGGACTCCGTCAGGGCTCGCGTCTCCCTGCCAGCGCGGGAGCTGAGGGGAGCGCAGTGTCTGTGTCTGTGTTGTGTGTGAAAAAACATTAGATTCTGCATTCTCTTTGGGGTCTGAGACCGTCTCTCGCACCAAATTGTGAGACCACAGCCAGACCAAAAAAAGGCAAAGCCGGAAGCCTCCCAGATCGGCCATCGCTGCAGAATTCGGACGTTTGCTGCTAAAACAGCTAAAACGCACCGATAAAAAAGACTTTAGCAGCCAACGCAGCCGAGACGCGAGAGATAAAGCCCGAGCAGGCCGCAGAGCGAACTCGCCGTACTGAGCACCGCAGCGCGAACTCGCTCCTGTTCGCTGCGCAGCCCTAGCTGCGCTCCATTTTTGGCTCTGGCCGCGACCGACCCAGGCCCGGCTCCAGCCGCGGCCACGTCCGAGCCGGCGGCGGCCACGCAGCAGGGCGCGCCACCGCACATGCCACTCGCCGCAGCGGGCGGTGTCGCCGGCGGCGACGCACCGGATGCTGCCGGCATCGAGACACGGCGGAGCTGGTTGCCGAGCAGGAGGACGGCTCGGCACGGCGCCGGTGCACGGGACCGTCGCCATGTACGCCGGTGTCGTGGAGGGTATGATTATCCGGTAGGAGCCTGAGCGGGACATGGTGTGCGTGGTTGTGAGTATGCACCGTAAACGAGACGCGATCACGCTTTTAGCGCGACATTGAACGGGCTCCGCCTCGAGAGGGCGTCTCGCGTGCGCGGCGCCGCTTGGGCGGGGCGGGAGAGCAGAGGCACGCGAGGCGGGTGGGAGGCGGGCGGGAGGCGATCTCAACTGCAGAAATCGCGCCGCGGAGAGCTCAAGTCAGCAGAGCGGCCCCTGCAGACGAGGGGACGGAGGTCGACGGCCAATTAATCGCTCTGGCGGGGCGTCGCCGCGGGGGGCGGGAGGCGTGGCGGGCGGGCCGAAGGCGCGGGCGAGTGTGAAGAGAACCGACGGCGTCAAACGGTCCGTGTCGGCACACGGGCGGCACGGGCAAGGGCCCGCACGTGCCCCATGGCCAGGGGGAGCGGCGGCGCTCCTGACTACGCTCGAACAGGCCCCGCGAGACGCCTCTCGCGGCGGAGGTCGAGCGGCGACGTCGAGCGCCGACTTCCGCGCGGCTCCTGCGTCGGGCGCGTGGTGCGCGTCGAGAGGGGTGGGTCGGACAGGCCGGTCCAGGGGGTCGTGTGGGCGCGTGCGAGGGCCGGAGTCGTGAAGCCACCCTCAATAAATAGGCCGCCGGATCAAAGTTGAGTCGCCGGCGCCTGAGAGGCGTCCGGCCCTCGTCTAGCAGCCGCCGTGAGGCAACGGGAGCTCCTCCGAGGCTCAAAATTGGACCCATCTGACCGCTAACGCGTCCTCTGCAAGGCTGCGTCTTCGGGCTGCGGCCGGCGGAGACTGCCCAGCCTCGGCGAACCAGCGAAGATGGGAAAGCCTCGTTCGACCACGCGAATTTCTTTTCCAGAGGTTCAGACCCCCTGAGCTGGTCCCTGAGCCGGGGTTTTCTTTTGCTACTGCCGGCAGGAGCTCCCCCGGCGCTGTCCTTTACCTTCAGCGACACACACGACAGGTCGACAGCAGCATCGGGTCAGCAGCTCAGCACACGCGGCACGCACACAGACCCTCTCTTCTGGCGCGAAGGTGCACATGCCGCTTGAGTCCAGGGATCAGGCATCGCGGGCGTCCCGGCGACGCGATCACCTCTCCTCATCACCTACCTATAAGTATCTTCTGTCTTGCCCGCTGGCAGGCAGCGAGCGGGCGCGGAGCATCGGCGAGCATGGACATGGACCCGTCGTTACACCCGCTCGCAGACTCACCACACACTCTAGACTTGAGCCGAAGGCGTCTGCGGCACCATGATGAAAAAGTGCCCGTACCGGCTGGCGCCCTCAGGGATAACGGTGAGCATGATCCCAGCTGGGGTTGCGACCCGCATGGTGTCGCCAGCCTGCATGCCGCTTGAGAGCTCGACCCGCCTAAAGCCGACGGGGATTGTTGTTGCAAGGGCACGTTGCCCGCAGGTGCCTACTGGGTGCGGTCGCACATCTTCATCGGCGGCAATTCCTGGGGCAGCGCCGGCGGCGCAGGTGGCAGCGCAGGCGGCAGCGCAAGCGGTGCAGGCCGCGCAAGCGACGCAGGCGGCGCACGCGGCAGCGCAAGCGTCGCAGGCGGTGGCAGCAAGGTGGTAGTGCCAGGTTGAGGAGCAGCTTGAGGAGCAGCTGTCGAGGGTGAAAAAAGGCCGGAATTCGCCCTCAGAATCCGGATCGCCTCGCGGAGCCGCTCCGGCCGGCTGTGTCCCAGCGTCTCGAGCAGCCGAGTGAGGTCACTCAACAGAGCCGCCGCCTCGCTCAGCTCCCCAGCCACCTCTGGCCCTGCCATCCGGAGCAGTGTGCACAATTCCCGGACCAGCTTCAGCTGGTCGCGCCCCCCGAGGTTGAATGCGGCCACCTCTTTCCACAGGGCCCACGCCTCGTGCTCCTCCGCAGTGCGCGGCTGGGTTGAGCAAGCTGCAGGTCCGCTGTTGGTTGGCCACGACAGGCAAGCAGGAGGAGGCCCGTTGGTTTCTGTCGCGGGCGGCAGGAGGCTGTAGCGGTGGTTGGCTAGGCCGGGCACAGTGCCGGCGAGCAGGCCGCCCGACATCCACTCCTCGCTCCCCAGCAGGTCCTCAAGCATCCGATCCTCTGAGCCGTCGGAGGAGGCGCTCTCCTCCTGCTCGTCCAGGTCCGGAGTCGAGCTGGCTGGCGGCGGGGAGGAGGGGCGGGACGATGGGCCGCCCAAATTTGGGGCGGTCGCGGACCGTTGCTCCGCTCGCCTCATTGTCGAACTGTCCATGAAGTCTTTCGCATCGAGGTCAAAATGGAGGAATGTCGACCGGGACTCGATCGCAGGGGGGTTCGCCCCAGCAGTCGCTGGCTCAGTGCGAGCTGCACTCGTCTCCTCGGCGGGACGACCCGAAACCCATCGTGGGGCAGCGGCGTGCATCGGCGTAAAGCTGGACCGAGGTTGGGTGCCGAACCAACGCAAAACGGGAAACGTCGTGATGGAAGGATTGCCCCCGGGGATTGGGGGGAGCGGGAGCGTGTCCACCGCCGCGGGCGTCACGGGTTCGTAGTCATTTTGAAAAAACCTTGATTTTGTTTAGGTACGTCCTGATGCGCCCTCCCCCCTCGCTTTTGCAAAATCCTGCAAAGGTGGGGACGTGTCTGTCCTCGACCCAGCCCTAGCTTGGGATGTCCGTTGTATTTATTTATTTATGATTCCTGCACCAACAAAACCGACAAACCGCCTCACGTGCTCCAACAACAAACAACTCTAACACCAGCAACACGATGTGAAGGACGCCTCAGGGGGCAGGGGCGGCTCAGGATCACAGACACCCCTCTCAGGATCACAGCACCGGCGGGGGGGCGCCTCAGGATCAAGCACCCACGGCAGGGTCTGTGGGGATCAGCAGACCTTGAGGGGGCGCGCTGAGGATCATAGGCCTGAGAGGGGTGCTGTCAAGATCACAGGGCTGCAAGGGTGGCACTCGAGATCAGAGCGCCAAAATAGGTGCAATACAGATCAGCGGCCGGAAGTGGGCGCAATAAGTAAGGATCATGAGCGCCGGATCGGGTGCAATAAGGATCATGAGCGCCGAACGGGTGCAATAAGGATCATGAGGGTTTTGTGGTCTGTGCGCGGACGGCCCGGGGAGCCTGCGGCGCTATTTTAACCTGCCCCGACAGAGAGTCTCTCGATACGGCGCGCGGCGGCGCCGCACCCAGCAAGCTGGGGCCGCTCCTTACGGACTCGTCGCTGCGCTCCTCAAGGCAAACACGGAGCGCGCTGCGCGCGCGGTCTACGCCGAATACTGCGGCCGCCGTCACGACTGCCATCCTTCCTCGGCGGCGCCGAGCGCGCGAGCGGCGCCGATGGCCAGCCCGGCGCCACCTCCCAGCGACAAGCGCATGAGCGACAGGACGCGCATGAGCGACCCGGTCCAGCGCACGTGATTGGGCGCGACGGTTTCATGATGTCAATTACCTAAAACAAAAAACGATCGAGTACCGATAGGTAGCCAAAGAGAGTGTGTATCGCGCGCCTTGCGGGGGGGGCGCGGAAAAGAGGAACCTCTTAGCGCCATCGCCACGGTGCTGCATGCAGCGCCGGGCGACGACGGCTTACCGCCTCCCGGTCCCCCTCGGCACACCTCCGCTGCTCAATGTTTGACGGCTCGAACCCGTGAAGCTTCCCCGTGCGCGGGTTACCCCGCACACGGGTCAGCCTGCCAGCCACGTATCCACGCAAGCGTGGTCCGCGTGCATGGCATACAGGCGTCCGCCAGACAGCGCAGAGGCTAGGCGACCGGGGAAGGACTAGCTCAAGGGCAACACAGCGTCACCAGCCGTTGGCGCGCAGAACGAGTCTGCGGCCCTCGGTTGGGACGAGTGCGCGACGCGGTTGAACCGCTCAATATGGCCGGCAGCTCGCGCTGCCGGCGGGGTTGGTTGGGGAGAACCGGCACGGGGAGGGCCGGCCTCCCCGGAGGGGTCGCCCCCTGGAGGGGCCCCAAAGGGCCCCCCGGGGGGGCGGGGGCCCCCGCCCCGAGGGGCGGGGGCGGGTCCTTCCGTGTCGCTCCCCTCGTCGGGAGTGTCCGTCGGGATGGTGTTGTCCGCCCACTCGGCAGCGTTTGAGCCTCTGTCACCTTGCCTGCCGCGAGCAGCTAGCTCGTCGACGTAGTCGTTCCATTTGTTGCCGCTGTGACCCGCCACATGCCTCCACGTCACGGTGTGTTTGGCGCGAAGGCGTCGCCAGAGGGAACGAAGGCGCTCCGCTAGCTGTCTGTTCGTTTTGGGGGTCACCCTCCCCATCATGCACGCCGCCGCGTACTCGCTGTCGGTCCGCACTACTCCGCGTGAGCCCGCTCGTTGCGGTGACGAGGACAGGAGAGCCCGGAGGAGCTCGGCTAGGGCGGTTAGTTCCGCCGTGTTGTTGGTATGCCTGCGCGCGCCGAGGATAGCTGGGTGCGCCGCCGAAGTGACAACTGGCCCGTAGACCTCGCTCGCCAGCGACGCGCCCCTAT